ACTGATAGACTAGTCAACTACTTTTGAGTTACTTATGTCGCATATAATAGTAATATTTTAGAATCGAAGCGCGGATTTGTAGCAACGGGACACGAACCATAAACTCTTGAATTCACAGTCCGGTGTACTAACTACTGGGTAACAGCCATCCCACAAGTTTATGTATTTGCCTGTTATATCTGTCATTGTAAAGAACATCTGACCAAAAATTGAATGAATTCATTCATTTGCTACGTAAAATGCATACAGAATCTCAACAGTATTTACTGGGATTGACTGCATTATTGATGACATATTTATTTACATTTTTATCTTATTATTATCTTATTAAGGGCCCTGTGACCAACACAATTATTGACTTATAAACAATTTGGTGCATAAATCGTTTAGAAAAAGTATACTTCAAATATTATAGGGTATATATGGGCTTCCAAGTCATAATTCTTTGGTTAGGATCTCAAATGTGGTGCGTACTCTCATCAGAAATACTTGTCAAACATCTTTAGAAATTTTCATAAATCATATCGAATGTCATCATATAAATGTTTTATTCAAGTTGTATCTGCCTTTGAGATTTTATTTCTTGATGTTGACCTTCTAAAGAAAAATAGCATATACACCACTTGCAGAAAGAAGCAGAGTGTACGAAGTATGAAACTTCTCTGTCTGCAGTGCAATATTTAACACATAAAATGTACATGCAAATGTATACATGAAGTATGGGTGATGTATGCTCAATGAATTTTATAAGTCTATAGAGAATACATATGTTTGACATATATTTGCTCTGGCATCTGTACACTAATCAATAACAATGTAGATATAAATAAGTAGGTGAAACATATTCGTAAACGTCAGTTTTAAATATTCACTCTGGTGTACTATGGAGACTCAGATTATTCTAATTACACTAAGGGTTAGTCAGAGTTATAAAACTGCGAGATCAATCGGTTCGATTGTTGACATTATTAATCTGTCTTGTAGACAGCCATGGTCGAAACCATATATCATATCCGTCTTCCGTATTCTCCCACGGCCTAGCCATAACTTCTCAGTTAACTTAGTTACATCTGTTGACATTGATCTTTGACAAACGAAATAATTTATCTAGCTTTGAGTATATATTTAACAAAGACATTTTTGCGACACCTGAGACATATTTTGACACTAATCTCCCAAAATTTAGAAATCGTGCACCAAATTTTACTGGCAAGTCTATATTTAAACATACGTTTACCATGAGTTTAAAGTCTTCATTTACTCATTGCCTTTAAAATTATAAATCGTTCTTGAGCAATTTCTAGGTTTAAAAGTTGTTCATACAATTTCTAGTGCTTCGATTTGCAAGACGAGCGTGGCCTAATGGTCAGTTCCGACCGTGAATCTGAAGGTTCATGATTCGCATCCCTTGCCGCAAAAACACGCTTCTCACTTTGGGGTCGTGAGTTTACTATAAGAGTGACTTAAATATCCTATTCATTCAAACAAGTGTAGCCTAAGTGTATGGATTACTGCTGGTGACTAGCTGCCTTGCCTCTAATCTATCAGTTCAAAAATTAGAAATGGCCTTACGCAGGCATCCTTCTGGCCAAACAGTAATTCTGAGGGCTCATAACATTAAAAATCAGTTTTTTACACTCGCGGTGTAACTTTGTGCTTAATAACTAACAAACTATCCGCAGATAACTTTTTGTATAGTATTGCGCTAAAATTCTGAAATAAACAAACAAAAAGTTTGTTTCTTTTGAATTTCGCGCAAAGCTACACGAGGGCTATCTGCGCTAGCCATCTCTAATTTAGTAGTGTAAGACTAGAGGGAAGGCAGCTAGTCATCACCACCCACCACCAACTCTTGGGCAACTCTCTTACTAACGAATAGTGGGATTGACCGTGACATTTAACGCCCCCACGGCTGAAAGGGCGAGCATGTTTGGTGTGACGGGGATTCGAACCCGCGACCCTCAGATTGCGAGTCGAGCCGCCTAACCTCCTGGCCATACCGGGCCTGCACAAACAAAACTTCGCCTTCTTATTATATTTTTTATCAATGTTTTACATTTGCATCTCAGATTTTTTATTTTGGCTTGATATATGCTTTCGTATATTTTATTCTTATACACGTTCATTTTTGTAATAACACCTCTGTTTCTTCCGTCTTAATAGTATCCTGTTTGCAGACATTGTGGGATTCACAGTTCTAGCTTCTCAGTGTACAGCCCAAGAATTGGTTCGTCTGCTGAATGAATTGTTTGGAAGATTCGACCAATTAGCTAGTGTAAGTTTCTTGATCAAGTTTCTGTACGAGTTATTTTATATTATATGCTCCTATTTATTAGTATTTATAGGATTCGGAGTAGTTATTTTATCTATACATGTCAATCAGAAAACGGCCAACTATAAATTTATTAGTAAAAAGAAAAATAAATTATACATTTTTCAGTCACAGAAACTGTTGTCAACTGAAGAGTAATATAAACCGATATTAAGCTAACAATAGACATTATGAGTATGAATTTACAAGCTATAAGCATTATGGATTTGAAAGACGTTGCACAAGCATTATTACCCAAAGTGTATTATTTTATTGTATCCATGGCTAAACACGAAATGTATCTTTATAGAATCTGAAATTTCACGTATTGCGTTCTAAGATCCATGTTTTAACTATTTTGATTTCAATAGATGATTTAAACGTTTCTATTTAGATCAATAACAATATCTAGCTTGGAGATATTTAGCTCATATACATGGCGTTGTTGCAGAAATAATATAAAAAAATATTTATACAGCTTACTCTAGTACCTCTGTAGTTTCAAACACCTGTAGTAAAGACCCTTATCTGATTTATCCTAGTATTCTCAAGTCATAATTAATAATGTAGGCTCGTAATGTTGCGATAAAGTTCAGAAGAAACCATTAGGTTTCAAAATTTTAATGATACCACTAATTTTATTCCTTTCCCTTCTGAGGGTTCTCTTGTATTATTAAACTTTGCTGTTGACTGATAATTACAAATCTCTCAGACCTTGATTGGATGCAAGGTGTGTAATCAACTATTTAGTATGTATTTTCATAACAACAAACGGTTTACTTGTTAACTGTGTGTTTTATTCCTTAACATTAATCTGAACGTGAATGATATGAGCACTTACATGACACAATTGGACTATTTGGTATCGCGATTAGACTTCTTTAAATCATTAAAGTTTTGAATCTTTTGAAGGATGAGGGGATGTATTTAATAAAACCAAGACTTGGGCATAAAATTCAATTAAGTGCAAGTGTTTTACATCTCAACTTGCATGAAATAAGTATGTTCTTAAAGGTGTTTTTTTTTACATTTCTAGATTTAATAGTTAGCAAATAACTATCTAGGAAAAAAATACGTTTATGTTAATTTTCAAAAGTATAATCTACTTTTAGAATTATTAAGAAATGTTCATTGAAGTATTATAATAAATAAAGTTGAAGAAGAGAATCAATAGTTTCTATCTATAATATTATGTATATTATTCTTTTTAATCTGAATACATTTATTAGATAACTATTAGACTGGCTGAGGTATATTTTTGGTATAAGATATATACTGCTCTCCCTGCAGTTTACAGTATGACCCATGTCCAGTTTAAGCCCACACTATAGCAATTTTCAAAAACAAAATTTTGTCTTTCCCGATTTCACACGAGATAATAATTTATGGCTGGTCTGAAAGTTGTTTGTTTTCGTGTTGTAGTACCAAGTTTTCATTACCAATTAATGGTCACATGCACAGTAGATCGCGATTAAAAACTACAATCATTGCATTCATTTTTCAACTTTCCATCAACCCATAATCTCTTCTTTACTCAATTCGCATAATTCGGGACGTTGTGGCGTCTTGCACGTCTTCGGCGCGGCCAAGTGATGAGCGTGCAGCACTGTGGTTCTAAGGTTCCCTGGTTCGCGATCCATCACTGCAAAAAGAAACATCATACTCTACCTTTTGGGCCGTGGGTACGTTATAACAGAGAAGATCAAATACCACGATTAGCAAGTTATTAGTATAATGATATTATAACATAATAAGTGATATATTTGCTAATAAACGTACAAGAAATACGCCAAAAATGATGAATAATTTAGCTTCTTAAGCCAATATAAGATATGTTTGCACTTCTAAACTTTATAATCAATGAGCCTCCCCCCCCCCCCCTGTGGAACAGCAGTACGTCTGCGAACGTACAACGCTAGAAACCGGGTTTCGATTCCTTCAAACAAACAAATGTAGGAAAATTTAAACGAAAGCATCCCTAGAGGATATACAGAAAACCATATTTGCTTTAAAATCATTTTCAAAAACAGAGTTTACCTTTCACGATTATTGCATTTTTTTAAATTATTTTTTCACCTAAAACTTCGCTGTTTTTTAATATTTTTACTTTATGGGATGTGTGACCTTAATATCATTTTGCTGTATTTCTGAAAATCAAATTGCTTCTTCAGTCGCGTAAAATTTATAATTCTATCTCTTTAATATTTTATATTGAAGGGAAGAATACTTAATGATGTTTAAATGGCGTGGTTTTTATCCATCAAAATCTTCTCCAAAGATTTGATCCAAGGTAAATTCTAATTATAACTATTCTAAGTTACGAATTTTTTCGTCATACTTAGCATGAGTTGGTTACTAAAACCTATGAATAGTTAATTAGGCAAGTGATTCTCTATAGATCGTTTCATATAGTACATGTTACTCTTCTGCAAATAATGATTAATTTTCTTAGTAAAGCTTTGTAAAGATAAAGACATGAAGATGGCAAAAAGCAATTTGTCGAGCAAGTACACTAGCTTAGGTCTCTCAAGGATTTGAGGAGTAAAACTGATTAAGTCGTTATTTTTTGCTTGAAAGTTGTACCAGTCAACATTTACTCAAACTACAATGAAATACAAATTTGATTCTCTTTCAAACTCACACACAAAATCCACGCTTCTGAAATATTTGCGACACAAAGTTTGGTATATATATTGAAACTATATCAAGTAACAAATTACATTCGCTTACGTAAATCCTTAATTCAACGAACTACTTTTTTTTTACTATTTGACCTAGCTATATGCTACATGTTTTAATAGTTATATGATTATTACAGGGATAGGCGATGAAAGTTCTCTGCTCAGGCTGGAAAGATATGGATTTACTGAGCTATAAAAATACAAGAGATAGAAAACAATGTTTCTGGACGTGGCCAGTGTTTTTTCATTTGTTTGTTTCAGTTCTCTTAACTCGTGTGTCTGAGCTAGTTGTAATAACTTACGGAGAACTTGTGCAGCTGTGTAGATTACGATTTTCATCCGCCTAAGTCACAAACTAATTAAATAATTTTTTCGCGTCTTTTAAAGACGCTAATTTATATCTTCGTGATATTTGTCCTCTAAATTTGTTTTTAGCAAAAGTTTTAACAACCAGCTATTTTGTTCCGCGATTTATCAGCGGTAGCTTTGGAGGCTTATAACGCTAAAAATCGGGGTTTGTTATCCTTGGTGAGCGCGGCGTAAATAGCCCATTTTATATCTTTGTTTTTCAAAAACAAACAACCACAAAACAGTTATCTTATGGAACACATTGTATATCGCTGTTATGTTATGTTTAAAAATCAAACTGAATGAGCCCTGTAGCCAACATAATAATCTCATGTTGTGTTACTGTGTACATAATGGAACACATTAGCACATGTATTGTAATTGCATAATATATATGTATGTAATTAGATTCTGCTAACTATTGTGTCCTCCTAAAAATGTGTATTTTATTTGGACCTTTAACCTTTCATTAACTTTAAAAAATTACGACACAAGTAGCTAATAAGAGAACTGTGATTCCTAAATTGATCATCTCTAGGAGATTATGTGATATTGTGTATCGTCATCAGAACGTGTAGTCATGCGACTGATAATAAGAAACATTAAATGGGAATCATTTAACTACAAACTAAATTACAACATCCATTCCTTCAGTAATTACCCGCAATCACCCTCATTAAAATTATACCAAAAAATAGAAGTCAGAAGCATATTCACACACACACACATACCAGCTTTAAAGTCATCAATTATACATATATTTATTTAGCTTTAACTAAACCATAGCATTATCCGTCGCCCTCCAGTGGCACAACGGTATGTCTTCGGACTTACAACACTAGAAATCGGGTTTCGATGCCCGTGTTAGGCAGAGCACAGATAGCCCACTGTGTAGCTTTGTGCTTAATTACAAACAAACAAACATTATGCGTATATAATATGTACAATATACATCAAATGCATACATCAGTTCAGTTGTTATCCAGTAACTTAGGCCTTCCGATCCTACGTACAATTCAGTTTTCGAGAAAGTCCTTAATTTATTTTACTGTATTTTCAGCTACATCTCTTTTGTAGTATATCATCAATTTAGTCTGTCTTTTGTTTGCAATAAAAAGAAAATATGAACATTTATTCATACCAATATATAAATATCAGATATTGTAGTGGGAGTACGAAATCTAAACTGTTCCATACGTAGTGTTTAACTCAGCATATTAACTCTTGTTTAAGAGCGCAGTTCGATACACAATTTATATCATATGTCTGTACGTATAGGAAATCCAATGTTAACGAATCGGTCAGCTTGCAGTAGACAAACTCCTTTAAACTTTAACATATGTAATTAAATTCTAATGCTGGAAATTTAGGTAAAAACATAATAGTAATATTGTCTATTGTTCCTTGACCTTGTTATTAAGGTTTATTCCTTTAGAATTTTCATTTTCGAAATAAAACAATAAAAAAGGATTAGATACAGACTAAGTTTGTTTGTTTGTTATTAAACTCAAATTTTACAATATCATATATGTGCTCTTTCCACCGCTGGTATCAAAACCCGTTTTTTAGCGTTATAAGTCCTCAGACTTCCACTCAGCAGTCGAAGCTGGGGGCTAAGGACAAAGTGAAAAGTTTGTTTAAGATAATTTAATGTAGTTCGAGTGAGAAAACACTTCGATCAAGGAGTCTTTATATATTAAACTACTTCAACAAAGCTTGATCATATCAGTGTGTAATCCATATTTTATCGAATGCTAGATGGCTAGAAATCTGTCTCAGTATGATAGTTTCATAGACCTATTCCAGTGCACGTTAAGCACAAAGTTGCAGCACATTATTTAATAACTGGATTTAAGCCATCGATTTAAAAGCTGACGTCAAAATATGTAGCTAGTTATATCAAGACAAAAGTTAACGTCATGGTTGAATAGCACA